GGCCAATGTAATCCCATGTGTAACGATTTTTTGGTAAAATCAGACATAAAATGGTCAAAAGAGCACTTAATTGATGGGAAAATTGTCAAGGCTTTTATTTTGAAAAATTTTAAAGCTTAATTTAAAATTTCCACACTAATTCCATGTGTAACAATGGTTGGTTAAAAAGAGTTATAGAAGGCCCAAAACACAAGCAGTTCTAAAGTCCAGCCTTTTCCTCTGAGTTCTGCCATGTTAGAACTACAGTGATGCGTTTTTGTAGTCCTAATTAGCTGGCCCTGCTGTGTTCCATTGCTATGGTAATGGATCCTCTGCCAGCTGTGAGTCAGACAGGGGGAGACATAATTCTATCAGTTTGTGGCAGCCATTTTCACTAAATAGGCATGAGCCAGAAAGAGTCTTAAGGCTTTTATTTTGAAATTTTCAGTAAGCTTCATTTTAACTTTCCAAAATAATCTAAAGTGTAACAGTGGTGTATATAAAAAAGTCACATAATCCCCAGGAGAGCAATTCCATAATATACAAGAATGTCAGGCTTTTATTTTGAAATTTTAATTCAACTTAATTTAAAATTACCACTAACTGTGTGTACAATGGTTGGATAAAATCAGTTAAATAAAAAAAACAGTAGTTCTAAAGGCCAACACCTTCCTCAGAGCTCTGCCATAATAAAAACTACAGTGATGCGTTTTTGTAGTCCTAACCACTGGCCCTGCTGTGCTCCGTTGCTATGGTAATGGATCCTCTGCCAGCTGTGAGTCAGACAGGGGGAGACATAATTCTATCAGTTTGAGGCAGCCATTTTCACTAAAATAGGCATGAGCCAGAAAGGAATCTTAAGGCTTTTATTTTGAAATTTTCAGTAAGCCTCGTTTAAATGTCCAATATTCACATGAGCAACAGTGATTGTGTTAAATCAGTTCTAAAATGCTCCAAACAGCAATTGATATAAAAATTGTCAAGGCTTTTATTTTGAAATTTTCATTAAGCTTAATTTCATTAAGATTAATTAAACTTAATTAACACTAATCCCATGTGTAGCAAAGGTTGGTTAAAATCAGTTATAAAATGCCCAAAACACAAGTAGTTCTAAAGGCCAGCTCCTTCCTCAGAGCTCTGCCATAGTAAAAACTACAGTGATGCGTTTTTGTAGTTCTAATTTATAATTCTAAAGGCCAGCTCCTTCCTCAGAGCTCTGCCACAGTAAAAACTACAGTGATGCGTTTTTTGTAGTTCTAATTTATAATTCTAAAGGCCAGCTCCTTCCTCAGAGCTCTGCCACAGTAAAAACTACAGTGATGCGTTTTTGTAGTTCTAATTTATAATTCTAAATTCCAGCTCCTTCCTCAGAGCTCTGCCACAGTAAAAACTACAGTGATGCGTTTTTGTAGTTCTAATTTATAATTCTAAAGGCCAGCTCCTTCCTCAGAGCTCTGCCATAGTAAAAACTACAGTGATGCGTTTTTGTAGTTCTAATTTATAATTCTAAAGGCCAGCTCCTTCCTCAGAGCTCTGCCATAGTAAAAACTACAGTGATGCGTTTTTGTAGTTCTAATCAGCTGCTCGGCCCTGCTGTGCTTCGTTGTTATGGTAATTAATCCTCTGCAACTGTCATGTGTGTGAGACAGAAAGAATTCTATCTTTGTGAGACACCCAGTCAGTTTTGACTGAAAAAAGCGGTCCGAACAACTCCTTCCCATTCGGAAACCGTGATACGTATCGGAAAACCGTTTGAAGCGTATGAGAGCGCTATCTTTCGTCTCCGATAGTCCCGTTATTCATATCTGTACATCACTCACATTAATAACAGCGACGAGATAAAAATGGTGTGCGCTGAGGTCTGACATTTTTCAGAAATACATGGAAGTGATCCTGGCTGAGCGAGTCGAAATCCTGTCGCATCACTTTGCTCTGAAGGCCCTAGACAGAAAACCGTAAGCCCTAGGAAAATTTTGAAACATTTTACCGGAGCAGGCATGCGTATCTATTTCATGACCAAGTTTGATACCGATAGGGCGATATTTGTGGTCGTGACGGCGATTTCAAAATTTATTTGGGGTCAGAATCTCACTGCTTCCCACACTAACGAATCGTTGATTACACTCTAGTTTGGACAGTTTCTAACTGACAAGAATTTTTGATGGTTTTCGCTTTTTACTTTTTTATCGTAACTGCGAATCCCACCAAAAGTAATAGCACCCCTCCCGGCGCCGAGCCGCACGATTTGATACCACTTTTGTGGGTGGGCTCTGTTGAAATAAGAATTTTAAAGTAGCACAATAGTACATAAGTTAACTTTTAGGTTAAGATAAACTTAGATACAGATCCAAACTGGGACAGCTGGTGACTCTCTGAACTTACAGAAATTCCTAATCAGAAAACAGTCTTAGACTCCTTGAATCTTTAGATAGGGAGCCTGTCTGCCAGGCAATTAACAAATTCCTGAGCATGGTTCAAAAGTTCACTAGGATCTTAAAACTTTTTATAAATAATTTTATCTATATTAGAATTAACTATATTTCTTTAAGCATGTTTTAATTAGTTACTTATTAGATCCAAACTTATAGTCATTATTTAGCATTACATTGTGTGCAAGCTTGGTTAAAAATACAAACTACTTTCTTGTGAAAACATTTTGAGGCAGAGATAGTGCTGCAGCTGCACTCGTATATCAAACTGGACAGCGGCTGGTACGAGAAGGGTTTGCCGTATATCTGCTTTTGGGGCTCTTTAGCAGGAGGTAATAAAATTAACATTAAGACAGCCCACACAAAGGAAAAGAACACACCTCCTAATGCATATATTTAAATGAGGAGAATACGCAGTCTATAAAAAATGGTTTGTTTCACAGCAGAAGTTGGAATCTCTTTGTGCTGAGTGAGAGTTTCCCGGAGGATGCATCTTCTGTTAATCTTCTGTTTGTTTTTACTCAGTTCATTGTTTCTGTTTTGTCATGTCTTGGACTTTTGATAATCTAGGTGAGATGCTTATTGTAACATTCTTCTTGCATTGATTTTCTCTGGATAAAACTCTGAATATCTGAAGTCTGAAGTCGTATGATTGCTCTTTTCTCTCTGCACACTTACACAGACACAGGAATTCGGGACAAAGAATTAATTAACGAGCTAAATCAAGTTATTCCTCTTTTTAATTCTTAACAGCTCGCAGCGGTACGAGCCGCATTCCGGTTGACGGAAGAAAAATAAATAAATAAATAAATAAAGAGACATTCTATTGGGGTGTAGAATAATAGGTGCCTGCCAAGCAATGCATAAGGAGAGCAGTGACTGACTTGCTTTGCAAGTCAGTCACTGCTCTCCTTATGCATTGCATGGCAGGCCCCAATAATGTTCTAAGATTGTCATTCGGGGTAAAAAATCCTGTAGTTTGAACTATTGCATCAGGCAGTCGTATTCTTCTCTATTTAAATCTAATTATTACTGAAAGGCAATATACTATTGAGTCTTCATAATCTGCACTCTTTTGGTTGAATGCAGTGTTTATTTACACTTTGGCTTTATGTTGTTTACTTTTTATTCAAGTACATTTATTGTTAATTTAGACTGAGAATCTATTTTATTTTTGGTTTTGGTTGTTTTATTTATTTTGTGTATCAGTCCCAGTGTTAAGTGTTCTTTTGAAAGTAAATTGTATCTATCTTGGCAGGAAATCGCATGTATTATTACGTAATTTTTGTAAATCGGTATAAAAATGTCTTCAAACAATATTATTGTTTATCGCAATAATTTTTGAGACAAAATCTGTTTTTGTGGTAAAGCAGGACTCTTACTTATAACATAGTATGTATCTCATAAACAGCGATGTTTTAATTTTTCTTTTTTTTCTTTTAATTGGGCAAATCACTTAAATTAAAAGCAAACAAATAAAAATTGTTGCTGTAATCTGATTCTTTTGATAAGACATGCAACTTTCTATGACCCCAGATTTATAACAAGTGTAATACTTGTGTGTGGCCACGCCATGCACACTGATGATGCCCACAGTGGTCCTCAGTGTACTCAGGATGCTTGTGTATTAACACAAGCTTCATGTATCTGGGGATATGCCCAAAAATGCCCAGACACATGAAAAATTAGAGGGAGCATTGCTCCAGACCAGTGAAAAACTATTCCAATAGTCTATTCTCTTGCTTATAATGTTTCTCTTGGCTGCACAAATTCCCAGACATATCAAAGTTTCACAACACCAGATATGTCTATGTGTTGACAGGAGTAATCTAATATGCCCACACTTTTTAAATCAGTAAAGTAAGCCTACTTTAATTAAACTATATGGAAATGAACAATGTTTTTTATTCCATCAGCTGTCCAATTCTCCTCACTGGGAGGCTAGAAGGCCCACAATGACATCTGAAGTCTTCAGAAATCTGCTTTGCACACAATAACACTTGCAAATTTATTCTTATTTTATGTCCACAATGGCAGATGCAGAAGGAGAAATTGATTTGGTCTCACAATTTATTAAAAACAATTTTCAAGGTGGATTTTCAAATCAAAAATGAAACTAATTTGAGTAATAATGCACTTTTTCATCACTAGGATTAACTGGGATGTAGGGGGGTAGGGAGTAAGTTGAGCCATCCATTGTCAATTATACTGTTATTATACATTTATAGAATTGATTTTCTTCTGTATACATTGAATTTATCAATAATACATTTTAGCTTTTCATCAAGTGTTTGAATACTGAAACATCACGATCACAAATTAGTTTGCTGACACAAGACAATTTTAGTTCCACCTTACAATTTGTCTCAACATCAGAGATAACTCCTCCATAGATACTGAGATGCTACAAGTTCTAAGCACAACTTTATGCAAAGTATCCCCAGAGAAACACATTAAAAGCCAAAAGCAACACAGCGTTAAAATTGCAGACTTTCCTCCAAACAGGTTTCTCATACAGAAAGTTCAGGTCATTGCTTTGTGCGTTTGGTGGTGCAGATTGTGAGCTTGGACTACTCAGGCCACAGAGCCACATAGCAACTCTTTTCCATGTAGGTGGTGGAGACTGTTCAGTCTCAGAGCAAACAGAGTTCTCCAGATCTGGTGCCCTTTGAGGAGTTGTGAGGTCGATGCGAGGCTCAAGATTAAATCTGGTCCACCAGGTTAGTCTGTGGAGCTGCACAGGAGAGATAAAGCAGAGAGAAATGAGCTGAACCAAAGACATTTAGAGCTAGTTTCTGTTTTAATGCTTGCACTAAATTAATACATGTATCGATTAAGAAGTTTGATATATTCGGGGCATTTTTGGAAGATTTCCTTTTACAAATATTATTCAAAAAAATTGAACATCATAAAAACTTTGTGATGACATTTCTTTACAACAAAGTGCTGGAATCTGCTTGAACCAATGAACAGGGTCAGACTGAAGCTGTGTAATTTCCTTTGTCTATAGTATTTTATTCTTTACTGGAGTTGCACAATAAACTCAAGGTTAGAAGTCTTATATTTTACCACATAAACAGGTCCCAGTTTGAAAAAAAATTATTAATGTCCACAATTTAATGGTTAGAGCATTCAGTTGTGGGTCCCGCCTCCAGAACCTATGGCCTTGATTTGAGATGCCATATCATCTGCTGGTGTTAGTTCACTGTGTCTTATCACTTTAGAAGACACAGTCAATGCAGCCGACTGTTGGGACATTTTTATGATTTGCTCTGCTGACAAGCTTTATGCTGATTTAATTTGTCATCAGGTCTTGGAACCTGGCCCAACTGCCAAAGACATCAAAAGCTGATTGAATAACCTGGTGTTACAGTGCTTTATTGGCTTTATTGGCCAGCAGAGTGGCCTGACTGAACCCGTAGAGGATGTAAGGAGTATTGTCAAGAGACAAATAGTTTTGAAACTAATTTGAGTAATAAACAGCTTAACGCACTTTTTCATCACTAGGATTAACTGGGATGTAGGGGGCTAGGGAGCAAGTTGAGCCATCCCTTGTTTCTAGGAAACTCTAAAACCATTGAGCACGTTTTCATACTTTTCAAATAGTTAGGAGGAAGGCATCTTTTAGTGAAGCTTGTGAAGGAAATACCCTCATGGATAAAGTGGTTAGACTTTTATTTCTTACAAACTCTCTTTCACTCTTGAAAGTAAATTTAGTGTTTTATGAGTTTCATAAGAATTGTGTTTAGATTATAATAGATATTTTTAAAAATTGCTTTATATATCAATTGTGCTATGTATGAGCTACATGAGGTCATAAACATCATTTTAGTTGTGGACATAAATAAAGTTGAAATGGAAAGTTTGGGGTAAGTTGAGCAATTTGATCATTTGAGCCAATGGCTTATTCTGTCTGATGATGGTGTATGCGCCCGTCATCCCCTGTCATCAACTGGGGACATTTCAGTTCCAACTCTCTGCGGCTAACTTTTGGAGACAGGTACTTGCCACCCAGAAGCACATTGAAGATCAATTGAAGTACAGGTCCTAATTAATGTTGTTTGTTTGCATTTTCAGTTTTCACATCTAAAAATAAAATTATAAATGCAGCTTACATTTCTTTTGGTATTGGAGCAGACAACAAGCTGACAGTAATAATTACTAGGCATGTAAGAGCCAGCAGGATGAGAGCAAAGTAAAGGTAATGGACATCAGTTAAACAGAGGGCCGGTGATCAGGCTGACCACAGGATGGTGCTGTATAGGAGAACTCCAGAATCATGCGGACCAGTCCCATCACCAGGCCTGTTATCAGACCCCAAAATGCCCCCTAGGAAACAAATATGCAGATTAATAAATACATTAGATACCAATCTGACAAAAATGCTACAGAATTGCTCTATATGTTCTCTTTAAATATTGGACTTGCATATTTACGGAAGAAACAGTTGTTTAGAGGTAAGGCTAAATACAAATGTTTACCGTAACCCTAACCCTTCTAATTATATGGCTGACATTTCAAAGACTTGCTCTTAAGTGATACCACTTTATCAGACTATGTTAGGGAGAACAGGCTGTAACGAGACACAAAGTAATCAGCCTACATTGGTTCCAGACAAAAAATATTCCCTGACCTCAACATCTTTGCCAGCTCATGAATAAATTATTGGAAAAAAAGAAGACTCAAAAAGGGGCTTGGGGCATCAATGGGCGAGGACTCATGCCCTCTCCATCCCCCCCCCTCTGCACATGCCTGCTGCGATAGATTGGCAAGATATCCAGAATGTCACTTGATGACTGCTGGAGATTGTGGCACCAGCCCCCCATCTGCGACCCTGCTAGGACAAGAGGAGGATCCTAGAAGGATAACATTATAAAAGTTTGTTGTGGAGGTTAGATGAGTTAGATTTTACCATGTTGAGTCAAGGGGTTTTACAAAAGAAACACATTGGAATCATGCAAAGTTTTGGTAAATGAGAACTGGACTGGAAATTCCTGAGTTAACATCATTTCAGTGCCATTTGTGATTATTTTTTGATGTGTACATCTGTCAGGGACATACCTGCTCATTGGCCCGAGGCCAGAAGATTGCCATTATGAAGACAGCAGTAATTGGTGGGGCTAGAAAGCTGGTCACAGATTGGATGTACTCAAAAAGCTGTCCACTGTTGGCTGTCTGGACAACTGGAATCCACAACAGACTAACACACATCAAGACGAGGACGAAAATCCTGAACATAGACATAGTGTTATCATTGTGGCATTTTGGTTGAAGTCAAGATGACAGTAAGATGTGATCCAGCATGTCCAAGATTTCCTGGACACCAGACAGATAATAACATTTGACTTCTTTTCATTGAACTGATTTTTAAGCTATATCAGTAAAAGCCTGTAGAAGAATGTAAAATAATAATAATAATAATAATAACTGGTATGTTATTTCTCATTACTCCTGATCCTATCAACATACACCTCATCATGTAACTCAACATGTCTTGAATATGTATTTAGATAACATAAGTAAACATTTAGCACTGTGAGTATTTGTTTGTGCAGCAAAAAATTATTGCATATAGGGGGAAAAATTGCTTGTTTTCTGATAGAAAGACAGTTTAGACACTGACATTTAATCTCTTTTGTCCAAATTAACTTTCTGGATTTAAGGTGTAATTTTCATCCCCACCTTCCAACAATCATAAGTTCCAATTCTGAGGCTCTTGGTCTTGCTTGTGGTAGAGGTCCAGAGTAAATATAGTGGAGCTGCTATTAAAAATTGATGTCAAAGATGACATCAGAGCAGCCAAAATTACAGCCAGCATGAGGCCACGTAAACCTGTAAAAAAAAAAAAAATTAGCATTGTCAAGTTGAACTATTTGAAAATGATTGAGAAGCACATATATAACACATCAAAATTTACATCGCAATGTTTTAGGGTACACAATGAAAAACAATGAAGCCTTTGACTAATAAATAGCACTAAGGAGGTTGAAAACACCAACATGTTGAAATCTACCGCAGGCCTGTGAAACCATGATTATTTCCTAGAACTGCATCAGTTATTATGCATTCCTGAAATGAGCAGGAGCCCATTTTCCACTTTGGAGTTCACAGACATATGAGCCCATCCAACTCTATAAGTGCAACATGATCTTAAATTTCTGTTAGAGGTAAACATTACTGTTTTACGTGTCACATAATTGGAAAACTCATTTAAAGGAAAAGATCATTTTATTTATACAATACATTTTCAGCAACAAGGCAATACAAAGTGCTTTACAAGATTTAAAAGGAAATACAAACAAAATAACAAACCAAAGGAAAAAGCTAAAGAAGAAAAAATAATCTAACATGATCTAAAGCAGGGGTCCCCACAATGTTGGTCCTCGTGGGCCGCCATCCTGGTCATGACAACGTTTTCAGAAGGTCAATTTCTGAACCATCATTTGATCCAGGTGTATTAAATCAGGGAAAGAACTAAACCAGGCAAGATGCAGGCCCTTGAGGACCGACTTTGGCGACCCCTGATTTAAAGTATGTAAGCTAGGTGCTCCTGTTCAGGGTTACTAAGTATCCTCTGGTCTAATTTCATTTATGGGTTGGGAGAACAGGAGTCTAAAAAATAGTTTAACAATGTTTATCCAAAATTGTCCCCTGGGCTTCTGGTCTCTGCATCTAAATAGTGAGTACTGTACTCTACAGTTTCTGATAAAATAAGCTAAAGAGTGACTAATCTAAATCATTTTCTGGGTCAAAAGTTTCTAACTATTGTATTTATTACTTCTCTGTAGTTAAAAGGATTTCAGGAAAACACAATAGAGAAAGAAAGATAAAGTAATATAGCACTGAGAAAGAGCTATGTCAGAAATAGACAAATAAATAGACCCACATTCAAGGCACAAAGTGCCATTTTATAAAACAACCTTTTTCCAACAAATCTCAGCCAAATGACTGATTTACCTCCTCAATATGTAGGGTGCGCAAGAGGCTCAAGGCTGTCGCAGGAGGTCTACAGACAATTAAGACCCAAAACAGCTATGCCTTGTCAGTTATCAGATACCCTGCTGGAATAATTAGCTGGCCAAAGGAGGAGATAAAAGCCACAGATATTAAGACTAGAAAGCTACTAACCATGCATGGAGGGTTCCACCCAAATCCAGCACCCTGAGACTGTACACGAGCCGCAAGGAAGGAGGCAGAGGACTAGTGAGTGTGAGAACCACTGTCCAGGACGAAACAACTAAGATCCATAAATACATCAGGGACAAAGCCTCAACAGACAATGTGCTCAGTGAATGTCTCAGACAACAGGGAACAGAGGTTGAGGTGCCAGAGATACCATCATGGGAGGACTAGCCCCTACATGGGATGTACCACCAGCAAATAACCCAAGTGGCTGATATCAGTAACCCTAACCCAAAGTTGCTCTTCGCATGCAGCCAGTTTTGGTAAATGATTTCTCGCCGCTGGTCATCCAAGCCTCCCATTCAACTCGGAGGGCCACTTTAAATGCACAATTCATACTAATGTCAAGTGGCTGCAAATACTTTGTTGTGCCTCAGGAATCACAGCTGGAATGGAGTTTGTCCTCTTGATAGCCACAGAATCTGTAATGTGGGCCCTCATGCTGTCCAAAACGAGGAATGCTTTTTTTCTACTAAAAAAATCTTCCCGGTCGCTTGCCATAACACTCGGTCAAGCATTCTTTCATTAGGCTCCCTCCCATCCACTCTTTTGTGTTAACTTTCACGACAGGTTTTCGTTTGGCATAATAATTTGCTTAAAATTTACCACTGGTGTAAGCTTCAGTCCGGATGCAGTGCAGCCCAAAACACAGGTGAAATGCATCCTTTCATGGACGGTTATTTTCAGTGTGACAGATGCTTCACCTTTCTTGTTGACGGTCCTGGTGAGGGGCAGGTCAAACATCAGATTTATGATTCATATTATTTATGATTCATCTAGTCCAACGGAATTCTCTGCTATCTTTGTTTGAATGAATTGTGAAAATTTGCTGACAGAGTTTCCGTGTCCTGATGGACAGACCTTTTTGTTTCATAAATCTTAGACACGACGGTCCCCTTTGAAATCCTGAATTTTCTTTTGGTGGCGATTGTTTTTGCTTTCAGTCTGATTTGCACAGTGGAAACATTTTGCCCATCTGCTCTCTGTGTGTTCACACAGTCTTCAAGAATGTTTTCCAGTTCGGGCCACCTGCTTTATTACCTCTGAAGGCTTTTTTTTGTCTTTTACAGTGCTCCAGTTCTTCCACTGCTGTTTCCAGCGTCTCACCATGGATTTGTTAATGCCAAGTTTACGTGCAGCAGGTCGTTTCCCTCTTTATCGGCCAGCTTGACTGCTTTTAATTTGAAAGCTGTGTTACATGAATTTCTTCTTGCATTTTCCGTGATGATCGTCTCTTTGTGCTAATTTTATTCATGCACAAAGCGTGAATAAAACGTGTCTTGACGAAGTGTCATGTGACTTGCGTCTTCCTCACACATACATACATATAGTATGTATTAAAAGATGTTAAGTGGACACAAGTAAAAGTATTACTGGTTATAGAGATATGTTACAATGAACATCTTCAGTGAAATGTTGTCTAAAAACAGCAAATCAAATACAATTAAAATGAATAGCACTCTATCTATCTATCTATCTATCTATCTATCTATCTATCTATCTATCTATCTATCTATATATATATATATATATATATATATATATATATATATATATATATATATATATATTATCAGTTATAGGTGTGATAGAAGCCAGCTGTCTTCAATAGAATTTATTAGGTCATCTATATTGTTGGGTTTGGTGTCTGCATCCTCCTCTTGATAATCACACGCACTACGTGGCATGTTAAAGTCATAGACAGTATATGAGGTAAATGCGTTTCTGTGACTCACCAATAGGCATTAATTCTACCACCAGTTTGGGGTAAGCAATGTTAGAGCAGCCAACTGATGCTCCACATATTCTCTGACACAGTGCTGGATCCACACATCCAACCTCATCTACCAACAGAGAAGAGGAAATATGGTGATATTTGCATGAACAATAAATAAATAAATTTATAAGGGTAGTTTTTTCCAACTTAAATAAATTCACTTTCACTTCCACTGATGGAATCCAATTTCATCTTTGAGCAACTACCAGCATATTCATGTCTAAAACTAATTGTCCAATGTCAAGTCCTCTTAACTAGAAGAAGAAAACAGGTGTATGGCATGAAAGGTTAACACAGAGAAGCACACAGAATTACCTGGGAAGAGTGCGCGGCTTACCATGCCGGGCATCACAATGAAGAACATGGGCAGGAGTTTTAGGTACCCTCCCAAAACGCTGCCTCCTTTAGCATGAGACAAGGATTTGGCTGACAGTGACCTCTGAACAATGACCTGCATCAGCATAAAGTTAGAATCATATTTTTTTTCACCATTAAACAGTCATTAAACTTCTCACTTGTACTAAACAGCTGCCTCAACCTTTGTTTATGTTATATTGTAGTTCCTGGTCTATTTCACTGATCTAGTTCACTTCATTAATGCTGAGTTGTTATCAGTTATGTTCTGTCTGTCTCTGTGTTGCCCTGCAACAGACTGGCGTCCTGTCCAGGGTGACCCCGCCTCTCGCCCAGAATGTTAGCTGGAGATAGACACCATCAGCCCTCCCAGACTGGATGTTGATGCCCCTGAATTAGAGATATATTATAAGATGGTTTTATATAGAGTAGTAAAAGAACAGAGTGAGGGGAAATACAAATTTAGTTTCCATCTGTTAGGATCTGGGGTTGTTTCGTTTTGGATTTTGTCATTTTTGGTGTTCCTTAGTTTTTTTCTTAATAGTTCTGCCTTGTTTTCACTTTAATTCTCCCTTAGTGATTCCAGTTATATTTATTGCTTGTGTCTGATTAGTTTCTATCTCTCTAATTTAATTATGTTTCCCAATTAAATTAGGAAACACAAAAACAAAAAGAAATGGAAAAATCTTCAGTGTTAGATTTACTTTCTGATCCCCTCTGAACTCTCTCTTGTCTCCTGTGTCACTTTCTCTCACCCTCTCCTTAGTGCCTCCTACTTCCTCTACTCGTACCTGGAATCGGATAGCTAATCAGCCTAGTTCTTTTGTTCAGCATCCATTTGCTTCAGCATTCAAGCTTCAGCCATTGCTCGCCAGATCTTTACATCTACTCCCATCAGTTTCTTGTTCGGCCTCATGTTCTTCTCATGTTCTATCCTGCTACTTTTCTTTCCATGGATTTTTTTTTAGTTTGTTTCTCAATATTCTTTTATTAAATCTTCTAATTCACTGTACACTTCTGTCCTTTTGGGTCCTACAACAACCATCTTAACACCATGCCACCACCTGCTACTCTTTAAAGCATTCCTTAACAAGACATCTCTATGAACTTCAGCTATGTAGGAATGTGGATAATCTTACCTGATCAGTACACCAGACCCATGTAGCCAACACAGTAAGGCCAAAAATTAACCCCGGCCAAGGTAAATCTCCTGACACAGCATCTCTGAACATGTGGAATGCATCAGGACGAGGAATATGGCAGGTCGTGTTTTCAACTGTCACTGTGGGGATGCTTGACATGTAGCGATCCACAAGGCCCTCATACCAGCCCACCTTAATGAAAGCTAAAAAATACAGATAATAAATCCATACAAAGACAATCATTTTTCTCAATCACAGTACTCTAAAAATTACCATGACTTCAGGTAAGACATCTGCTAAATGAGCTCATCTTTTGCACCTATTATTTCACACTATAACTATTAAAAAAAACAGCATGTAGTTAGAAGCAGCAGTGCCCATCTTACCCATGAACATCAACAAAAGGGCTCCACCAACCATGATTAAAGTCTGTAGAGCATCAGTGTAGATGACCGCTGCCAAACCACCTGCAGATATACAGATTTGAGTTTGTATCACACTGAATAATACGTTTTGTGAAAATACTTTAATCATTATGCAACCCTATAAAAGCAATTGCAGTTGTGTCCCCATCATCGGTAAATAATAATAATTATGTTGAGTCGACTTGTGCAGGTTGATGAATGTTTACATTTGGATCAAGCCATTTGTTGACTTTCCCAAACAAGTATAGGTATATTTTGGTAAAGGCCTTGTTATTGGATTAGAACTTGACTTGTCAGACTCCAATTAGACTGAATTGTGATTCACTAAACTGAACAAATGTCAGGACTCTGTGTTTTGGGTTGGGGATTTTTTGGGGGGTCTTTGTTTCATTTAATTTTTCCTTTCAGGGTTATTCCAGTTTTGTTATTGGAGGCAACTTATTTTGGTTAAATTTGTATTGTTCTTATGCTCCTTATTTTTCACCCTTATAGTTTGTCTATTTATGTTTATTTCTTAGTTATTTTGTTATCCTACGTTCAGTTGTTCCTAGGACTGAGTGTATCTCTACCTCTCTTTAGTGATTCTAGTTAGATTATTTGTTTGTTTAGTCGTTCTAGTTGTTCCTTATTTCAGCCTCTTTTGTAGTGTTTCTAGTTTTCTTATCTTGTTACTTTCGGTCAGAAGATAAGAACCCACTTTGGGGGCCAAAGTGGGTCCTGGAGGTTTTCTTCTTCTTGATATTTATTGGCGGTTGGCAAGAATCGTTAGGTGAGCATTACCGCCACCAACTGGTAAGGAGTGTGGACCGCATGAAAACAAAAACCAATAATAAAAAAACTATATCCTACTATACAACTTACTATGTTTCAAAAAAATCAAATATACCTTGACATCCTCTGCTTCCCGACTCCTTTTGCAGTAAATCAACAATATTAAAATTTCATTTTCATATTACTAAGGTTCCTAATGAACTTGTTTCTCCGAATCAGATAATTCCTACAACTCAAAATGATGTGTTCCACTGTCTCATCTTCCCCACAGTCGCATTTCTCTGTCTGATGTTTCCCCATCAAAAATTCAATCCAGTGTGTCCAAGTTGTGAAATAATTATCTTTCCTCTCCTGTTTCTTTCTGTTCGTCTCATTTGTCCAATTCTCTTTTGGATTTTATAAAACCACCTTCCTTTCTTTTCTTCTACCCATAATTTTTGCCACCTCTTTTGTTTTTGTTTAATTATACCCTTAATTTCTGTTATACTAAAACTAACATTAATATCTGTCCTTACCTGATTGGTTCTCTCCTTACCCATCCTGTCTGCCATTTCATTCCCCTTAATCCCGTGATGTGCTGGAACCCATACAAAATTTACATTTGTATGCAGTTATAAAGTTTATTTAAGTGTTCTTGTATTATATATTTATTCATAATGTGAAATTTCTCTTTGTTCTTCTTTTCTAATAATGAAAACTCAACTTCAGCATCAGGAAGGATCCAAGGTGGTGCTGCAGGTAATGGAACTGTCTGACATACAGTATATCTAACTGATTTAAATGAATTTTATTAACTTTAGAGTTTATTATCCATATTCTTTTCCTTTTCCCATTCAGGTTTAAGCACGTCTAATGTTGGATGATCTTTTCTTAAAGATAATTGATCCCTTCTAACTTTTAGAAGCATTTCTCCCATCTCAACCTGTAATGCTAATGTTGAAGATGTTTTAACAACACCAGTATTATTAAACCCTGATGTTGGAAAATATTTAACTTTTGGAGGTTTGTATCTGCTGCTGAACTATATATCCATAGTCCAAGATTTACCTGATTAACCCAGCATAAATTGCTTTTTATGAATTTCTATCCACTCTGCTCCACTAAACACCTCATTATATTTAACATCTTCCTACATGTATCGATTTCTTAATGTGCACACCCCGTGTCATTCTTTTATTAAATCACATCTCAAGAAATTTAAATGAACTCTTTCCAAATCTTAACCATATAAGATTAAGATATTTCTTAATATCAATAGTTTTATTGATTACTTGCCATTAACAAACACCTGCTATAGAATTTGAAACTAATGTTAAATCAATTTTTGACACTGTATCATGTCTAAAATTAATTCTGGTTCCACTTCCATAATTTATACATACCAATTTTTTTTACCTCCATTATTTCTTCTATTATATACCCATTTTGATCATAATGATGACTCCATAAAGAGCTACGGCCATTAAAGTTCCCACACCAAATAACTTTACCCTCTAAATAAACAAGTTCCTGCATTAAATCTATTGAAAGTCTTTTACATTGATTATAGAACTTGATTATTTTAAATTGCTGTTCAAATTTGAGTAACAATATATTCTAACTCTCTTCCTTTAGCCAATAGTCTAAATTGAATTTCCTTTTTATGAATGTTATACACCCTCTTCCAGATCCTCCCTCTCTGTCTCTTCTAACACTTTCATATCAGTTTAGAACAAAATCAAGATTTAGTTTAAGCCAAGTTTTCTGAATACATATAATATCTAGATCTTCTTTAAATTAGCAAATCCTTGTCCATTTGCGATAAGGCTTCTAGAGTTCCATTGTAAGATGATCAGTTTTTGTCTTCCTGTCCTCCTGTCTGTCCTTCTGTCCCTAGACTCTTATTTATGTGCTCCCAAGATATGTCCTCTATACCAAAAAACCTCTCTGCCCCTTTCACAATCATTTGGATTTTCTCTGTTTTGTGCTTTATTTGATCTATACAATTAATTTCATATACAATGAACAGAAGAATCTTTTCAACTGTAAACAGTTTCAGTTTCACTCTGTCTTTGTTCTGGTGTTGGATTCAGCTGAACTTTCCTTATCACATCTTTTGGCTTCACTCTTTTTGCAACTTCTGCGTAACTTTATATTATTACTGATTAACTTTTTCAATTTCTATTGCTTTTATTCTGTCCTCACATCCTCCATAAGTCACCCTGTGTTGCCCTCCACAATTACAATGGTTTTCCTTTTTATTTTAGCAAATGTCAGATCTCCAAACTTCGTTTTTAATTCTCTTGACAGAGCTAACGGACTGAATCAAATACCTTCATCCTCCTTCCAAAATTTAATTAGTTTAGATTCCTCCCTAACTACTATTCTCTTACAAGCTACTTTATTTTCATCCAAACTATTTCACAAGGCTTACTACTTTGTGTCTGATAAATTATCTTCTTTTCGGTCTCTTCCTGTTCCTCTACTACCATGCACTGGAGTCCAATCACCAAAATCCATCTCATCATCTCCATCATCGTCAAGCTGAGATGCCATGGCAGTCCAGTCACAAACCAGTTTTATGCCACCCAATATCAGCAAGTTTTTGATTCTGCTCTGTCATCTTCAGATTCCGCTCCACTGCTCAACGGTCGAACTCCCACCGTCTTCACTCCCATCCCACTCCGGGACTACCTGCCAGGTTTACAGGTCCTGGAGGTCCTCCTTCCTTCATGTTCTAGTTCTCTTCCTAGTTTAACACACCTGGATCCAATGATGGTTCATTAGAAGGCCTACCATCAGGGACAGGACAAAAACATGCAGGATGCTAATCCTCTGGGACCCACTTTGGGCACCACTGCTTTGGGTTTAGTTCTTCTATTGTGTCTGAATCTATGTCCATTTTTCTTTCATGATTCTATTTAAATTATTTCTTTGTTTAGTCCTAGTTGCTTTAGCTCTGTGTTCCTTAGTTATTTTTAGAGCAACCTTGTTTCTGATTTAATTCTTTCATAGTTCCCCTCATCTTTGTCTTTTTCTACTTCATTGTTTTCTTTTAGCTTAATTTTAGAATTATTTTCAGCTCCCTTATGTCCTTCACTTTTTTGCGTTCCCCTGTATGTCTATGTAGTTTCCTTTGCCCCGCCCCTCACCACTCTCACCTGCAATCAATTGGCTCATTAGTTCTAATTTTTATCTAGCTTTCTACCTCCCAGTATTTAAGCCTCTCACTTTCTTCAATTATTCATTAGATCCTCATGTCTACTCCTGTCAGTTCTTTGTGCTTTTCTGTTTCCTTGTGATTCTTGGTGGGATCCTTTTGAATTTGGTTTTGTTCTTATTTTCATAATTTTCCATTAAATCTGCAAACTCAGCTACTACTTTGGGGTTCAACTTTTCACCAACAAACATCATGACATACGGTAGGACTTCAAATTGGGATCTTGATCTGTGTGTGTGTGTGTGTGTGTGTGTGTGTGTGTGTGTGTGTGTGTGTGTGTGTGTGTGTGTGTGTGTGTGTGTGTGCGTGTATGTGTGTGTGTGTGTGTGCGTGCGTGTATGTGTGTGTGTGTGTGCGTGCGTGTATGTGTGTGTGTGTGCGTGTGTGCGTGCGTGTGTGTGTGTGTGTGTGTGTGTGTGTGTGTGTGTGTGTGTGTGTGTGTGTGTGTGTGTGTGTACCTGCCACAGTGTAAGCAGCTGTAACCAACAACAATATAGCTGTAGACAGATAGAGATTCCAGCCCAGTGACACCTGAATGAACAACGCCCCTGAAAACATATCTGTCTGGCAAAAACACATAAGATCAGACACTACAGCACTGTAATTTCTGACAAAAGATCAGCCATGTGAGCATCTGTAATGTAAGTAGCCGTGCCTTACTGATATTTTTGTGAAGATGTAGAGAATCAGGGATAAAACAGACATGTATATGCGGATCCTACGGCCTCCAAAACGCAAAGCCAGGTATTCAGGCATGGTGACCACAGCAGCAGAGATGTAGACAGGAATAAAGATCCAACCCAGAGCCACCAGAACCCATGCTGCCTATTAAGATAATATCATTTTGAAATGTTTTATCACTGCTGCATTCAATGAACTCAAATCTATACCAAAGGTAAAAGATAAGTTATTTGAAACATTACTAATTTTTACTTTGTTCTTATTTTCATAATTTTCCCATTAAATCTGCAAACTCAGCTACTACTTTGGGGTTCAACTTTTCACCAACAAACATCATGACATACAGTAGGACTTCAAATTGGCATCTTAATCTGACATAGATATGCCATCTATGACATAGCCTTGTCATAGATGGCTATCTTTATGAAGATGTAAACATGGACAACTCATGCAGTCTGTAGAACTTTGCTCTTTTTTAAAAAAATATATCGTGTCTGGATGTACAGTGCATACTCATAAGTCACCCTGGGCTACAGAAGCTTATTTTTGACATATCACTACATCTTCCCATTCCAGTAGCAAAACATACATGCTTAACATTTCATCGATATCTTGCAGAAAAACTTAAGTGAGGGGTAGGCTGCCCTCAGTCTGCAGCAACGTAGGGATTATTCTGCCCTCCATAGTTACTGTTCCTATCAAACAAATTAAAAAAACAACTAAAACTCTTTTGTTTACTGTTTGTAGACTATCTATTACTCCAACAACTATAACATGTGAGTTTGTAAAGACTTCCAGTGTAATTTACTAAACGTAACTATTAGAAAAAAACCTAAAGAAAAAAAATCTCATCTGCCCCTCCCTTTCATTGTATTGAATGAAAGGTGGTAATTGGTATATAGTTTTCTTTTTGATGAAGTAAATACTTTTCTTAACTAATTCATTTCAAATGTCAATTTACAAGTTTTTAACTAAACCAAATTATCTTTATACATAAATAAAAAAATGTACCATGCAATAATATTATGTCTTGTCAATCCGTAGACTTAGAAGTAGAGTAAACTTAATACATTTTTGAACTCTAGGTTTTGAACCTAGAAATGTTTTGAAGTAAAACATATGAAGTAGAGGGCTTGGAGTTACTAAGTGTCTCTAGGAATTCAGATTACTCTTACACTGGATGTAACGTGTTAACCTTTCAATAGTATAGATCCCTCCACCTCTGGGCATGACTGTCTCTGAACTGGACTTCCAGCCGTGGAGTCAGAATTGATTTCAGGTGGAAAGCTACTGGTCGGTACCACAGGGGAACTCGGTGACTGCAGCTGATCCGGTAATCAGCAGGCTGTGAGCCGGCTTGGAGGTGGGTTGTTCTGTATCACATCAGGGCAAGACATGGGTCAGGCTGCTTCAAGATGTTTTTAACAGTCTGCATTCAGCAGTCTGCATTTAGCAGCCCCGTTCACCTGAGGGTAAAGGGCCTAGATGAAAACTGTATCATCACTGACCAATTCCAGTGGAATTTCCCACCGCACAAACATGCCCTTGAGTTGACTGATGACATGATGGCTAGATATGGATGGTAGGCGAGCCATTTTGTATCTTTGGATCAATAGTAGACCACAAAGAGATAATACTATCTCTCAAATTCACACAGATCTGCAGCTATGCACTGCCATGGACCCTCTGGTAGGGTTGATGCAAGGAGAGGTTGTCGCCTCTGGGTTGGTTTGTTATAAATGCAGAAGTTGCATGATAACACTTCTGTTTAATTTCAGCACTGATGACTGGTCACCACACTGCCATCCTAGTGAATGCCCAGCATCTTGTTAGTCCTTGATGTCCTTTATGCATATCTGACAATACCTTAGCCTTCTGTGAAGCAGGAATCAGCTGTCGGTCCCGATATAAAACCAAACCATCTGTTTCAAAGAGGTGCTATTTGTCGTGAAAACTGGCTAGAAGAGGTGAGATCTTTCCAGGTTCACGCAGAAAACAGATCATAAAGGCCTGAGAAACTGAAGTAATCTTGTATGTTGATTTGATAATGACTGTAAGAAATATACCTCAGTATATAACGTACTATATACAACCAGAAATACTTGACACCAACCAAGTTTTTTTGTCGTTGTTTTTTTCAAACAATTTTTAAGCGAATTTTAGTTTATTATATAACGTTACTATATAATGTACTGATGATTATGAAGTAAGTAATTTCTGATTTGAATGATTACATATGAGTGTTAATAATTACAACAGGAACAAATGATGAAATTAAAAGTTAATAAAAAGTATTCAAATCTAATTATTGAAATCAGTTATGGATAAAGAAATGTATTAAAAGATTATTGTGTTTTATGGTTATGGTGATTTTGTAAAAGATGAAGAAATGTAACTGAATACAATCACATAGTTGTAAAAATTACAGTTGGTGAAACACAGATATGTCCAGGCATGCTTCAATCTGTGTTCCAAATAAGGAAGTCAAAATGGGGAAGCAGGAACAGGTTAAGAAGAATGAAGTAAAGTAAACAACAAAGTAGAAGTGACCAGGGAGTTGTCCGAATATAGGAAGGCATGGGACCTTCCATGAGGTAATTGAATGCTCGAGGAGTCACATTCTTCATCTCCCAATACACAACAATGAGGAGAGGGTATAAAAACTCAAAGGAAAGGAGAAGCTTCATTTTTTCTTCATTGCAAGGCACTTTCACAGGCATAAAGAAATGATATGCACTGAACTTATTTTCTGAACAGAATGGACAGTTTCACTGCCTGAAGTTCATAAAAGCATATTGTGTTTTTGTGTCATGTGGAAAACAGACCTGCAAGCAATTCTGGCTCAGAAAAGACATGCAACTATTACTAGTTCATTGACATTAGTATTTTAGTAGCTATTACGAAAGGCAAATCCCCCATCTTAAGGGGTTTATGCCCAGGCCTCCGAGACAAGAAAACAGCTCTCAGTTTATACAAGGTAATAAAGGACTGGAATGATACTGGGGAATTTGGTTTCTGTGGAAGAGGTGATGGTGAGGAGAAAGAGAGACAGAAAAAATGTGACAGAAAAAAACAGGATAAAAAAATGCTTGGAAGAGGGTGCAAATGGGAAATGGATGGGAAGGTTAAACCAGAAAAAACCTTAATCAGAAAGAAGGAAGGGGGAAGGAGCATTGTATATTGGGGGTGTATGACAGCTTGACTGAACTCCCTCACTGGAAACTCTCTGACCTTCATTAAACTGTTCAAGGATGGTTTCAAGGTCATAAATTATTACAAGACCTCTCTCAAAGGATTGCAATTTCACATGCTCAATGACCTGGAATTATTCAAGCAATCAGCAACCTAACAGCAATCAAAATAACAGAAAGGCCAAATAATTACAGTCATCAATAAAGCCATAAAAACGTTTAGTTCTTGAAAAGTTGCTACAGACTAAAGCTAAAGTGTTGCAGATTAGTTGATTAATGAAGATATAATAGAAATGAAAGAAGGGTTCTTCCTTGGAGAGAAAATGTCTGTTGTCTAACGAGAAAAACGAGAATCTAATTCACAGTTTGCTTAATTGTATTTAATTTTATGTTTTTCATTTTGGTTCATTTTTATACTCTCCTGCTGTCTCAGAAGGATGTAACAATTGAATTTCAACAACACTCTGTTTAACTGATGGAAATACTATTTGAAGGTTTTTGTTTATGTTGTATGTGTACATAAGTTCAAACAGAAAAAAATATTACAATATAAGTGACTATAAATGAATGAATAAAGACTAAAGTCTTTACTTACACCAGTTATTTTTCTTGAATGTTTCTCTTTATTACTGTTGTATATTTCCCATGGCTTCTCTTGATTCCATGTTGTATGGCAATTTTCAAAAAAACAAAAACAAAAAAAAAGCGCATACTTTAACATTCTTAACAAATCATTAAAAGATAAACTCGCAACGCTAGAAAAATTGGAGACTCTTGAGGACCTGATCAATCAATCTATCCGCCTCGACAAAAGAGTCTGTTCTCGTGCTAGGGAGAAGAGCCGGAGAAATCCACTGGCCAAACACCTTAGAGGCATAACTCCCACTCCGGCAGTCTCTCCTCCCCAAGCTCCTCAGGAGCCCGAACCCATGCAGGTGTGGTGAACTCGGCTAACTCCCGAGGAGCGGCAATGACGCATCTCTGCCCACCTATGCATTGACTGTGGTTCCCCTGGTCATTTTCTCGCTCAGTGCCTGGTCCGTTTAAACCTCCAGGTTCGCCATTACAAGCGAGGAGGTTGGTGGACCATTTATTAAGTAGACTCTTCTCACTTATTACCTGCTACAGTCATCTACAAAACTATTAACTATCAGTTTGTTTTGATAATTACATTTTTTAATAATGTGATTGTTGAATAGACTAATGTGATTATTTACTTTGTTTTCTGAGTTGTACTTCTTACATTCCATTCAAATCCTCCCACAGCAATGCCTCCAGCTGCTCCTGTTCCTGCAAGTCCAATGAACAAACCGCTGCCAACGTTACTTGACATCAGGGAGGCTCCAATCTGTCAGTAAAATCACATAATAGAGAGGAACAAGAACAGTTTAGTAAGCTTAATTGATTATATTTGTTGCCAGTCCAATCAAGTGGATTTTCTTTTGTTTTTTAGGGAGGATAAATATATCATTGATTGTCATTCTCCATGCACAATCACTGACAAGGCTTTTAAGTAGTTGATTTACAAATAATACAGTTTTAATTACTAAGTAAGCAAATTACTTAATAGCTACCTTTACTCTTTCTATTATTTAAATATTAAAGTAAAGGAAAATACTGCATTTCTTTCAAAAACAAGAATATAAAATCCATAGCTATCACCAATGTTATGCATTAGTAAATAAATGTTTACTTTTAATAAACATTTATTTTAATAAAATAAATGTTTTATTTTAATAATAAATCAATAAATCTTGTCTTGAACTATGTAAGATTTCTATTAACCTCAACATACAGTCATTACAGTAACCTCAGTTTACCACAGGGCTACACAAAGAAAATTTGATTGATTGATTGATAAGCATTTTCTTTTATGTGCTGTTAATAAATGAGTAAGTTTGCATTTTCTAGGCACTGTTATCTATGATTTCTCAGTTTTTCAAATTCCAAAATATTTTTTTGATGCCAATTGTAAATTAATTGTGACTAAGATTTATTCAAGACTCTTCAAAGAGTTATTGTAGATGGCAATTGCTGTGGGCGGGAAGGATCTTGTGTAGCAGTCTGTATTACAGCAAATTAGTAGAAGCCTCTGACTGAAGACACTTTGTTTTTCTAAGACAGTCTTATGAAGAGGATGGTCAGGTTTTCCACATCTCCATAGATTTTATGTAAAATTCTTTTTGTACCATCATCTCCAGAGGTTCCACAGAAGTCTGAAGCAAAATGTACCAAGTTTGTAGGAAATGTGAAAATAATACTTGCATTATTATCATAAGCAGAGCAGGAACATAAACACTTACTACCTCTGCATTAAAATGTTTGTACTTACTGGCCACCATGTCATGGAACGACCAGCCAAAAAATATCCCCCACAGTGGTCCGATTAGCTCGCACTGATGACTGTTGAACAAAAAGATGTACATTAGATTAGTAATAAAATTTTCCAGCTATAGTGGCCTTTATTTGAGAGTGGTCAGACAGGAAGTGTGTTGTGACGGGGCTTCTCTCCATATCTCTCTGTGATATGGAGAGAAAATAGCCTATGTTCACACTGCAGCCTGAAGTGACAAAATTCCAATTTTTTTGTCAAAACAGATTTTTTTGTGCCATGGCCCTTCATATTTCCAAATATATGCAACTTGTATGCGATTTCCAATGTAAACTGCAAACAACCTGAAAGTGTACCGCATACACAGTAGAGGGCGTAATAATGTCACACATGGAGAGTGTTCTCAGTGTTTTGCCAACTTACACAGAATAGAGACATTTATTGAATATCAGTGACATTTATTGAATATCAGTGACATTTATTGAATATCAGTGACATTTAGGTCAGATGAATAACCTGAATGTTCAGTCACATTTGAAAGGATACAGGATTAGTTTAACATGTTGGCCTAAATATGTTGCAATGTTCATATTGCCTAAAAAATTGCTGTTTGTGATATGCTAAAACTCATAATTAAAAATTGGCATCTTTTGTTACATTTTTCGCCTATGGAGGTCGCTATTTTTTCACCAATGGGTTGATGATGCATAATGGTCCATTGTGTACTAGAATCTACAAAGGAAACATAGGTAGGCTAGCTTTTCCTGAGTTGTTGTTTATCATATTGCATTTGACTAGTGTACTTTTAGAAAATCCCATACTTTGTCACTATTGGCTGTAATTTAACAAAATAAAAATAAAAATTGAGAGGACTCTGGATAATTTCCCACATGAAAGAAAGATAGCGCAGTACAAGAGTCCTAGATCTTTCTCCACAACTCTTTGAATCTTTTATACCAGCAGAACTAAAAAAGGCTCTAATCATTACCTTAACCAGTTAAAAGTAAATGCCTTGAAGAGACAGGCAGAGCTGGATACTCTATGAGATGCTAACAGGAGCTATACTGAAATCATTGAGACCTTAAGCTTATTTCTGAAGCTTGGTACCTTGTAGATTTTTAGCTACCCCTCTGCCTTTCTCTTGTAAATTACATTTTTAAATCCATCGTTATGTTTCATTCACAGCAAATTTCTGAAATCAGCTTTCTGTGGGAAAGTTATGAAAAAATACTGTCTTGCCTCTCTGATGTGTCTTGGCTCCATGGAGGCTAATACTAACTGCTAGTCAGAGTAGGCTCAATTTTATTACTGAGATCAAAACCCAAGAACTGAGGTCCGGTGTTGTTGGGGCTGTTATCACCGCCCCTAAACGGCACAGCAGACACTGCGCTACAGACGCTGGGAGAAACGTCAAAGACAAACAGTACTAATGGAGCTGTTACTACTAGAAATGCAAATGGAGCTACAACACTACACTACAACACCAAACGAAGTTTGGACCCTAAGCAGCTGTTGCTGAACTAGACACAGAGTTATAGAAATACTTAAATCTCAAAAGTTGGTTGGAATTGATGCTTGAAATAGTGTCATATGAACGAATGCTGGCTAAGCTAAATGATGATTTAGAAAACTTAAAGAACCCCATTGTGTACTAGAATCTACAAAGGAAACATAGGTAGGCTAGCTTTTCCTGAGTTGTTGTTTATCATATTGCATTTGACTAGTGTACTTTTAGAAAATCCCATACTTTGTCACTATTGGCTGTAATTTAACAAAATAAAAATAAAAATTGAGAGGACTCTGGATAATTTCCCACATGAAAGAAAGATAGCGCAGTACAAGAGTCCTAGATCTTTCTCCACAACTCTTTGAATCTTTTATACCAGCAGAACTAAAAAAGGCTCTAATCATTACCTTAACCAGTTAAAAGTAAATGCCTTGAAGAGACAGGCAGAGCTGGATACTCTATGAGATGCTAACAGGAGCTATACTGAAATCATTGAGACCTTAAGCTTATTTCTGAAGCTTGGTACCTTGTAGATTTTTAGCTACCCCTCTGCCTTTCTCTTGTAAATTACATTTTTAAATCCATTGTTATGTTTCATTCACAGCAAATTTCTGAAATCAGCTTTCTGTGGGAAAGTTATGAAAAAATACTGTCTTGCCTCTCTGATGTGTCTTGGCTCCATGGAGGCTAATACTAACTGCTAGTCAGAGTAGGCTCAATTTTATTACTGAGATCAAAACCCAAGAACTGAGGTCCGGTGTTGTTGGGGCTGTTATCACCGCCCCTAAACGGCACAGCAGACACTGCGCTACAGACGCTGGGAGAAACGTCAAAGACAAACAGTACTAATGGAGCTGTTACTACTAGAAATGCAAATGGAGCTACAACACTACACTACAACACCAACGAAGTTTGGACCCTAAGCAGCTGTTGCTGAACTAGACACAGAGTTATAGAAATACTTAAATCTCAAAGTTGGTTGGAATTGATGCTTGAAATAGTGTCATATGAACGAATGCTGGCTAAGCTAAATGATTATTTAGAAAACTTAAAGAAATCCTGGAACAACTTTCTTTCTTGCAATATCGGGACAAGTAAACCCCTTAGAGGATCTGCTGTTGTGAAAGCACTACTTATAAACCTTTGGTTGTAGGGTTGACAATGCTCATACCGAGGATGCCTTTATATGTCAATTTTCCGTGAAAATTTTATTGATTTGATGTGTGCAGACCTGGCTGCCCTTTTCTCTTTTTTTTTCTTTTTTTTTTTGTTCTTAAGTTCTCAATGTGGGATTATGGGTTGGGGCTGGGAAGGGTTGATTATTTGTATTGTGTTCTGAAAAATAATAAAAACTTTAATAATAATAAAAAAGAAATACTTCAATCATCTTAGTTTAGATCCAAAATCACTATTGATACCAAATGATAACAATACCAAATTTAATCCCTCACTTAGGGTGTCTTCACACTCAGAGTCTTTTGTGGTTTGCTTACACAATGCATGTCATTCATAGAAGAAATGCATAATCAGTGCTCCTATAAATGATGGAGGCGTGACACAACACACACCCAGAAAAAAATAAGCTTAAAAGTGCATTTTTAATGCTAAGAATCACTCACTCCAGATTTTGTGTTGTGAGCTCTATGTGTAGACAAGAATTTGTTTGAAAGCAGACCAACATCACCTCAAACAGTGGGTTTCAGTCCAGTTGTTGGTCGGCACCAGGGTTTTTTTCTATGTATATACATCTGCACAAAAAATTCTGACCGACTCTGATCCATTTAAACTGGAACAATAGTGTCGGGAGTGAATACACAGTTCAGCACATAGAAATAATATACTGACATACTATGTACATTAAATAAATTTGGGATTCATTTTAGTATCTGAATACTAATCCACCTTTGTTATATCATCAAAATTTGTTTGAACTATATGTTATAGAATGAAGAAGAATTAAACCTGAACACTTGTGAGCACAATAGAATTTGTTTTCATGTGAAAACTGGAAGATTTTAAAGTCTGAATGTTATCTCAACAACAAAACCATTAAAACCATTACAACATTAGACATGTACAAAAAATAGATAAAAAAAAAAACATTTTTATGTGTATTAATGTTCTGTGGCTCATCTTACCCAGATTCCAATCACCATGACTACAATAAAGTAAATAACAACAACAGCAATGTCTGCAGCATCCACACTGAGACTGTGGCTTGGGGGAGCGTCTGTGGTAAATCCAATGGAATTCCAGGCTGTATATTAAAAGAAAAAAGAAATTAACTTTACTTTTTACTTGTTATAACTGAAACATTGATATATATATATATATATATATATATATACAATAAGCTTTAGAGAACAACGTTTTTATTTTCCTGGGTTGCTTCTTTAGTGTAGCTCTCACAGTATTTAGAGCTGTTACACATTCTTTGGCACCCCTAAATTTCTCTCCATGTTGCTTTGATTTCAGCTTCATTTGCTGCGCCTATAGAGGGACATTGCTTCTTATGTGAGGTTAACTGTTGCCAAGTCACTCAGTGATCAGTTACTTTGGTTGTGCACAAGCTTATTGGTGAAAACATTCATTGATCGATTGGCTACACCTGCTGATTCTTAATGAAAATGAAATTCGGTAAGATAGCTTCTGTGTTGTAGTTAAAGAACTGAGAAAAACAGATCATATTAGGAGAGATTTAAAACTGAATTACCTTCTAAATTTAGTGTAAAGAACAAGTAACGTTTCACTAGAACCTCTGTCACTAAACTGTCAACATTTATGTTTTGAGGCATGAACAAAATATTTATGACTTTATTAAACAACATTACAGTAAGTACCACCATAGGGATTGTTGTTTTTTTTTTTTTTTCTTTCCTATTTATCTAAATAGTAACATACTATTAATGCACCTAGTAAGGCATACTTTGTTAGCATAAAGTAGCATGTATGTCAACAACTAGTGTTTCCTTGAAATATAATTAGTCTAATTTTTAGAGGGTTAGGGTTACGGTTTTTAAGAAAGTATTTATTTTACACTTGTGTAAAATGATCTTCATAAGTATACCCACTTGATAGCATACTAAAAATGTACTTCAGAAAAATACAATATATTTAAAATAGGCTATTATATTATAGTCTGCAAATTTTTGCACCAGAGTAACTCTCCCTGAACAATTACTGCAGTGTGTATTACACATGAACATAATCATGCAAATCCAATGCAGTTAAAGAGTTATGAGTCATTGTTTAGGATTGCTGTGTAATAAAAAAAAGTTAATAATACAATTGGAAAAAGAAATGTTCAGACCTTTAGCTGTACTCGCTGCCATGTTGAGTTTTCCAGTAGATGTAGCTCCTTTCTTTGTTGTATCACTACTTCTGTCGAAGTAAAAACCTGCTTTGTTCAACTGACAAACTTGGTAAATGCAACTATGTGAAACTAGTCAATGATTAATTTGCTTTTATTGAGAAATTCAAAGGTCACAAGTTACCTATTATCCTGTAACAACTTGTCTTTCACACAGCAGATATTTTCTGAATATTAGTGGCAACTAAAGAATGTTTGACAAACAGTATATGAACTTTAGATCATTAACCTAATTTCACCATTAGAATTGCTCAGTAAATAGTCGTTTTCAAATGGGCTTTTATTCACTGAGAGCAAAAACTTTGTTTAATCTGTAGAAGACAATAAAGAAAGACATAAATCAGATGTCTTCTGGTTTTATGTAGTTGTCTTCTATGGCTTTAATAAAATATCCATTAAAAATAAATAAAGTATTATAGTAATATTTTAGAACATACATTTCAAAAGAGGAAATATTTGTAAAATATCAGTGTCATGGTTGAAGCTACACGCTTGACCCACATGCAGACGCATAAACAAGGAGATGCAATTTGGTAAATGAATAAAATGTATTGGATCAAAAAATAATAAAGAGTCTGTGATGTGTCTCTGAGGGGGACCTTGGGTTAGGGTCGTCTCTGCCCTAAATACAGGGAAAGATGTGGTAAGTGTAAGAATACTGATAACCAACAGGGTTCAGGAACAGGCTTACTGGTGAGTATGAAGTCTCTGCTGGGAAGGGGGGGTGTCTGACTGGAGGAGGGGTCCGGTCCGGATCCAGTGGTTGGTGGCTGATGGATTAGTCGTTGGAGGGCGGGCAGGAAGAGAGCGGGTTTCGGCCATTCTCGGCGGTTCTCGAGTCAGACTTGAAGGTCTCAGGAAGTGCTTCTCCAGTGCTGGAAACCCTGTGAGGAAATATGTCAGAAGTTATCTCAGGCTTGCTTGAAACTCGTGCAAAAGATACCGACATTAGGTTCAGTGGGGGCTCTGAGTACCATTGGAGGTTAACACTCAAGCGCTGGAGAACCGACCGCCCGCTCTTCTTATGCTGGCGGTGATGGATATCGATTACGCACAGGTGCGCAGGATCCACCCTCCAACGACTGCCAACCTCTGGCTCCATCTGGTGGAAAAGAAAAAGGTTGCCCACCCAGCCTAGCGCCAACACCTGACAATCAGCAACTTATTACAACGTAACCTACCCTCACAAAGCTTAATGGTGATGTGAGGGAGAAAAAGTTAAGTACACAAGAATAACAGAAAACTTGACCTAAAATATCTATTTTAAATTAATAAATATATAGATAAATAAATAAATAATAGTGTAAAGTTGTAATTCAACAAAATGCATTTTTTACTCTGTTACACTCACCTCACTGAATTGTTATCAACATTGAGCTATAACTAACACAGAATAGGTGAGTAAAAACTTTCTCGACAACTCCCCCCACCTCGTCCGTCGACTGGGCAGTTGAAACTGGGGAGTTTAAGGTAATGCACGGGCCGCCGCACGCCGTCCACAACTTCCCCGTCCACTGGTCGTGCCCAAGGAGATGAGAAAGCTATCGATGTGGATGTGTGACCATGACTGTCTTACAAAGAAAACCTGAAAAAGTCTAAGCTGACTACTCCTATTAATTGCAAAGTTAATTAAATAAATAAAATAATGTAATTAGTGAAAAAAGTATAAATACACCCTTTTCAAATTAAAAACATGAAACAAAGCTATGTTTATTAACTTAAGTCCATAATAAAGACTAAATGTAAGACTATAATGTTAAAAAGTGCAGGAAGGGCAATGTCAAATATAAAAAGAAAAAGATAACAACAATGAAAAGGTATCAAAAAGTAAAAAAATACAAATTAAAAAAGATTCACCCCCACCCCCCACTGAAAGAAGGTCGAGGAAAGACAGAGCATAGGGGAAACCGCCGGATCGGGCTGCAGCTCTGTCCCCCTCTACTCCAGTCAGTCTAAACTGAAGGGATACAGGTGAGAAGAGTGGAACAATAAGGCTAAAAGCTAAGTCGTTAAGCAACTAATGCTGACACTGAGTCCTGTCCTCACTAACCAAGACCCCACTGGGGGCAGATCTCAGGTGTGACCTCTGGCGTGAAGACGGAGCCCGCTCGTCCAGAGGCGCTGGGTTTTTTTAGGACAATAATCTGTCTCCACAACTGCCCTCGCCCCGTGCACGGGACAGTTTGAATAGGGAATTGAAGGTACGCACGGGCCGCCGCACCCTAACCCTACCTCCCAAGTATTTTATTTGTACTCTGCAGAGACTTCCTGATCCTTCTGTGTGATGAAGGACAGTGACAGGTTGATTGTTTCTGTGGGAACAGGATCAGCGTCAGCAGCAGAAAGCAGCAGGAAGCTTCGTTCGCCTCATCGTTTTTGCTGATCAGCCTCCTGTGCAGCATGCTATAAGGCTATCAGAAGCTAGCTCCACTGCAGCTTACAGTGTGTGTGTATTGAGGTGAGTGTGTGTGTGTCAGGGTGTGTGTGCTGCTGCCTCTCTGCCAGACTGTAGAAGCTGGTGGGCTCCGTCACTTTGGGTTCCTCTGTCACTCGGCTGCTAGCATCTCTGCAGCTTCTGCTTACATCATCGCCTCCTCTTCCTCTTCTTCCTCCTCTTCCTCTCCTCCCAGCATCCCTTGGTGTGATTCAGCTCAGCTTTCTGATTTGTCTCCCCTGCAGGACAAAGCCTGTCATCACAACTGACTGAAGGTTTAGCATCTCTTAGCAGTGAGATCTTACGAAGCGACTGTTGATACTATCAAGATGGTTTCTATGACAACAGAAACATTAGCTGACATTTGATGCTGTTATTTCAGTGCAACAGCAGATGTCACTAGTGAGCAATAAGTCAAGCATCAGATAACAAACCACTGGGAAAAGAAAACGGGTGGAAAAGTTTTTTAGTCCTCTGGCTCATTTTAAAGGGACCTGCTCTCTCTGGGTTATTTAGCTTGGAGAGACTAGTGGAAGGGGAATTTATTGTTTTGTTGTATTTACTAGGGATTTTTGTTTGAGGTTGGTTTTTTGGGAGCACTTAGGCATATTTACTAATATTTGTGTTTTCCTCAATATTATTCCTCCCCTATCTTTCAATTTGATTTAATTGGGTTTTCACTATTTTTCAGCTATGATTTTAGTAGGACAGCATAGACTTCTTCATTTCAGTGTGGTCATTTTTGTACAATAAAATAAATTGTGACTACTTTACAAATAGGGCATTTGTTAACCAAATGAAATGTATTTAATTTGCAAGCAGTGCATTTGTTATAAACCTATTTGTTTGATGATCTTATAATAAAAGAGAGTATCTAAGGTTCTCTGAACATAACAAGAGGTGAACCTCATTAGATCAAGCTTGGTTTCTATACTCCCTACAAGCCTCTGCAGGTTCCCACCATGTTTGGTGGCCCTGGCCTGCTCCTTTCATGAAGCTGCCATAGCTACATGAAAGGAGGAACTATGGCAGCTACATGAATTTTTCAACCTAATCAAAGTCTGGCGAGGAATTTCCTATCGAGCTGAAACTCATCCTCAGTTGCTTCAACTTAATCATATTTCAATACATTTTTACTTGTTTTTGAGCTCAATTTTTAAATAAATCAGCTCAGCTTTAAAAAGTCATCTCTGAGTTTCTGTTGGATGAAGTTTAGCCTTGATGCTGTTATACTCAACAGGAATTTGCTTTAAAGTCAATTTTCAAACTGATTTTCTGGCCTTTTACTTTTTAAACTCTCTTTTTTGGACTGAACTCAGCTCAGTTTTAAAATGCCATCTCAGTCCCTCTGTTGGATGATGGAGTTTCATGTTAAAGCTGCTCTGAAGGCTTGAATTTGGTTTTTATAGTCTTATATTTTAACCATGTTTCATTTTTTTTCTCTTCAAACTGCGTTTTCAAGACAAAAATCACAGCTCAGCTTCTAACTTCATCGCTGAGATCCTGCTAGGGGCAGAAATATGTATTAATACTGTTCTGAACATCAGAAATGGACTTTAGAAGAACCCAGAATGCATTGCATTGTGGGGCTTCATATTTTAGCTTCTAGTTTTGCTGTTTTTTCTGCAATCCCTAAAAAATCATATAGTGTTGTGATTAGCATGGGCTCCTCTGTTAAACTAGATGTTTTCGAAGGAGCTAAAACATTTAGGAAATCTGCACCATGAGTCACAATGAGGTGTTCAGAGTGGAACTGCTGCCTGCTAAGATGGATCCTACTGTGGCAGATTTGGGTAAGTCTCTTCACTTTGTGAATGTGGTCATGACCCTTTGCTGTTACTGAGCTTTCTAGGGGTCTTGCGGTGTATGATGGCACTAGAATTGCTCTTTCCTCTCATTTCAGGGGTGGTGGTTTTAATCTCAGCAGGTCTCTGGAGACCTTGAAGGCAGCAGCTTACTGCAGCTGGTGTTCAGGTTCTTCTTCCCTGGGAGGATGATTGGATAGCAACACCTTGCTATTGCTGCTTTTGCTCATCCTTCTGGGGAACACAACTGCAACAACCTGGTGGAGATCTACTGGTGTGCAATTCACTCTGCACTGGGAAGCTAAGGTCAGTCAGTAAACTTGCAGGCTGCCAGTCTTCAACAGACCAGTAGAGAATCAACGGAGAACTCTTCTGCTTCCTGGGCATGCTGGTTCCACCTTGCGGTGTTAACGGACAGTGTGTTTTTAAAACCAGGGGCGCGGTACGTATCAGCCTTCCCAGGTTCCGCCTATAGGAACAGCACGTGGGAAAGGTGACTCTAGGACTCAGGAGTCTTAAATGCAGTCCAGTCTTCTATGAGGAATAGCCTCACACACAGCAACATGCACTCCAGCTGGTATTCTCTATTCAGTCCTACAGCTTAGAAATGCAGAAGAATTTTAATTTCAGAAAATCTTCAGCTTAAAGGCAATACTGTTAACTTCCTATGATCTGAGCTCTAGCATAACATCTAATATTATTGCAGGGTTAGTTCCAAATCAGCTGAAATAAAAATCTTTTGACATGATGTAGTGGGTGAGAAAAATTTACATATCAAGAGATTCATTTTAAATGTCAGACAAGTTTCACAATTCATTAATGAAATCCAAAACTCTTTAGTTTCTGTTCAAATTAGGACTATTTCTGAACTACAAAACGATACACAGTATAGCTGTAACTCTTTCAGCAATGTGGCCTACTCAAAGTACTGCTAACGGGTGGGGTAAAATGCATCTCCCTAAATGGTAACATTTCTGTAAGCCAATTTCATTGCTGCTGTTCTAAACAGTTAATTTCAATCTTTGAATATATTGACATTTCATTTTATTCACTCCAAACCTATTTAAAATGTTTTGGATGGTTTGGTTTCCCATAACTTTCCACTTATATTTGTGTAAACAGCCTTGTAACAATTGTTATCTGCCAGTTAGAAGAGAAAATGCACCTAATTTTTGGTGATACCCTTTAACTGTGCATTGGATTGTTGAAGTTTTCCACCTTTTACATATTGGCATCTTGCCTTCAATGGACACTTTTTCTGTTGGAGTAAAATGTCAGGGTCCAATTTTCACTCTGAATAGTCAGTTATCAAGCTCAGCCAACACATTTTTAGCTGCTTCCATGTAAAAACAGCATGATGCTCTTAGTGCCACACAGATCTTTGCGGAACATTTTGCCAACTATTGGATAATCCTAAATCTCTAACTGGCCCCTTCAATGTTCATTTTTTGGTCACTATTTAACCCCAGTAGCTCCATCTCTTTAAAGAGAAGTGCTCTGGAAAAACCTAGTAAAAATATTTGTAGATTTTTAAATAAAAAGTTACATTTACTATTTAGTAGAGTTCAAATATTAAATTTGGAGTTCAATTTTAAGTTTGGAGTTCAATTTAAAGTTGTTTTAAATTGAGAGGTCAGTTTGAAAGGTCTGACAGAAAGTAACCATTTACAATGGCAGCAATTTATAATATTTTAGCATCTTTAAACTTTAAAAATATATAGAACTTATGCACCAATCTGAAAAAAAGATTTACTGAATTTTTTCCCTTCCCCCCCAACAGAAAGTATTTAGGATCAAGTGCTTTTCTTACCTTAGCCAAATTGCCTCTAGCAGTTTTAGCTGTAACCTTGCAGGACAATAAAATTACATGTAGAATTTTGCATTGTGGAGTACATACCAAATGTGGATTCCTGTTCATAGGAAGTTAAGTTAAATTTCTATGAACTTCTAAATGAAATGGCTAGACTTAAATGTTAAGACAAGTGGGTATAGAGATTTATAAAATGTTAATATTCAACTCTACAGAAATGTAAATTATTGGTTATATGTAAAATGTGGAATGTATAAATTCATTTAGAAACTTAAGATTTCTAAATGAATTTATACATTCAACTTAACAATTCCTAAGGAATAGGAGGGCCTGGAAAAACCTTTCTTTAGGGTTTTGGACTTTAGGGTTTTGGACTTTAGGGTTTTGGACTTTAGGGTTTTGGACTTTAGGGTTTTGGACTTTAGGGTTTTGGACTTTAGGGTTTTGGACTTTAGGGTTTTGGACTTTAGGGTTTTGGACTTTAGGGTTTTGGACTTTAGGGTTTTGGACTTTAGGTTTTGGACTTTAGGGTTTTGGACTTTAGGGTTTTGGACTTTAGGGTTTTGGACTTTAGGGTTTTGGACTTTAGGGTTTTGGACTTTAGGGTTTTGGACTTTAGGGTTTTGGACTTTAGGGTTTTGGACTTTAGGGTTTTGGACTTTAGGGTTTTGGACTTTAGGGTTTTGGACTTTAGGGTTTTGGACTTTAGGGTTTTGGACTTTAGGGTTTTGGACTTTAGGGTTTTGGACTTTAGGGTTTTGGACTTTAGGGTTTTGGACTTTAGGGTTTTGGACTTTAGGGTTTTGGACTTTAGGGTTTTGGACTTTAGGGTTTTGGACTTTAGGGTTTTGGACTTTAGGGTTTTGGACTTTAGGGTTTTGGACTTTAGGGTTTTGGACTTTAGGGTTTTGGACTTTAGGGTTTTGGACTTTAGGGTTTTGGACTTTAGGGTTTTGGACTTTAGGGTTTTGGACTTTAGGGTTTTGGACTTTAGGGTTTTGGACTTTAGGGTTTTGGACTTTAGGGTTTTGGACTTTAGGGTTTTGGACTTTAGGGTTTTGGACTTTAGGGTTTTGGACTTTAGGGTTTTGGACTTTAGGGTTTTGGACTTTAGGGTTTTGGACTTTAGGGTTTTGGACTTTAGGGTTTTGGACTTTAGGGTTTTGGACTTTAGGGTTTTGGAGGTTAGGGTTTTGGAGGGTTAGGGTTTTGGAGGGTTAGGGTTAGGGTTAGGGTTAGGGTTAGGGTTAGGGTTAGGGTAAGGGTTAGGGTTAGGGTTAGGGTTAGGGTAAGGGTTAGGGTTAGGGTAAGGGTTAGGGTTAGGGTTAGGGTTAGGGTTAGGGTTAGGGTTAGGGTTAGGGTTAGGGTTAGGTTAGGGTTAGGGTTAGGGTTAGGGTTAGGGTAGGGTTAGGGTTAGGGTTAGGATTGGGGTTTGGGTTGGGGTCAGGGTTTGGGTTCAGGGTCAAAGGTCAGAGGTCAAACAAGTTTAACCCCCTTCCTTCTCCCCCTCACCCTCTTCCCCGGCCCCTGTGTGCACGGGCACGTTCTGCTGGGAGCCTCTACGCGAG